AGCCAGCCTTCTCTTGTGAAACCGCCAGCTGCGGGCCCACCGTCCGCATCCGGTGCAAAACACGGTGCCTTGTGGTCCGGGCAGGTGTTTACCGGTGACGGCAGAAAAACGATGGGTGCAAGTTTCCTGGGATGCAGTCCTGGTCCCTACCGGACCACAATAACGAAGCGTGTGCAACACGTATGTGACCTGACACATATTTAAACACCCTTAGCACCTTGTGTAGCCAAGGGCAATGGGGGGTGTACACGCATTAATTGCTTCTGGTAGGGGTCAAGCACACGCCATTAATTAAAACATTAATTAAACCCTTGAGTCACACTTTAGGTGTGCATCTCACGTCTAGCCCCATCGGTTTTAGATCACAGAAACAGAAACAAAGGCAGGTGTCACTATTTGTAACCTGGTGGGGAGCAGTGGTTCCCAACGTCCCGCAACTGCGTGCAGTGCCATGCCACGCAGATTTTTGGCCTGCGATGAACTTCCCAAAAAAGTTGCCCATACTGCTGGGCTTTACCTGTGGGCAGCCGCCTCCTCCATGGTCTCTTGACCAGCCAGCGGAGGGTAACATCACTTGTGAATGCACGCCTTGTGTCAGTCGACACGGTCAGATTTGGGCTTGGCGAGGATTGTTGGACAGGGCTGATCCTGCCTCGGGCAGGTGGTTGGACAGGATGACCTCGGGAGTCCCCTTCCAGCCCCACTGGATGGTTTTGTGAGTCTTTGACAGCAGCTCTGAAGCCTGGCTGAAGTACCAGAATGGTCGTCTCAGACAAATGTCTGGTCTGGATCCATCCCTGAGTGGTGTCAGAGCTATGCGTTTCACAGGCAAGTGAAAAGAAACCTGAGGAGACACTTAGGGAAGTTTCCTCCAAATGCTATTTGGAGAGAGAGTGCGGAAAGGGTGCAAGTCATCATCACGGGTTTCATAGATTCATAGATTAAGGGTCGGAAGGGACCTAGTAGATCTTCTAGCCCGACCCCCCGCCAGGGCGGGAGAACAACAAAAAACCCCAAAAAGAGAAATGGGACTCAAACGAGTCCAGCCAGGTAGGCATCCAGCCTCTTCTTAAAGACCCCCAGGGTAGGGGCCAGCACCACTTCCCTTGGAAGTTGGTTCCAGCTCCTAGCCGCCCTAAC